TTATTTTTTTTAAAAATAAGTTTTTTTAATTGTATAATATTAAAAATATTTATTTAATTAAATAATGTTGTTTTTTATGATTTTAATTTTTCTTGCTTATTTGAGTTTTTTTTAATAGTAAATTTTTGTTTCATTAGAGATAGTTTTTACTTTTTAAAAAGACTTTTTTTTATTCAAAAGTTTTTAGTAGGATTTTTTTTGTTTGATTTTTTTTTATAGAACAGGAAAATAGAATTTTATTATCATTAAAAAAAATAATAGTTTCAAATATAGAATTATTATTTTGTTAATAATTATTATTTTCTTAACAAAAATGATATTATTTTTAACTTTTGCAATATAAAATTTTAATGTATTATATATGTAAGAAATAAAAATTTTAATTTCCTTTTTTGTTATGAAGTTTTGTTATGTAAATAAATTATGTTATGCAGATAGACAATATTAAGGGTCTATATTGAATTATTTATTTCAATGATAATTATTACAATAGAGATATGAACAAAACATCAAATTTTCATTATCACTGATGAACAATTAACAAAAGAGAGGAGAGATTACAGAGAGGTTATGTGAGCTCGAGAGAGAAAACGAGAAAAAGAAAAATTAATAATGAATGAAGAAAACCCTAGTTTATCTATTTATAATAACCCTAATGGTTAAGGGGCTGAATATAAAATGTGTACAGGCCCAAATGCTAAAGCCTAAAATTACAATTTAATACTGCAGCCCAAATAGATTTTATGGTCTAATATCCCCCGCAAGAAGAACATATATATTTACAATGTTCATCTTGGAGAGGTAGTTATGAAAAGGTTGAGGGCTGAGTGCCTTTGTAAGTATGTCTACTAGCTGGCCTTCTGAAGGAACAAAGTGTAGAGAGATGACTCCTGTGGAAAGCTTCTCCCTGATTAAATAGCAGTCGATCTCGATGTGCTTTGTTCTATCATGATGGACAGGATTTTTGGCAAGAGATATGGCAGAGTTGCTATCTGAAAGTAAAGAAAGAGGAGCAGTGTAAGTAATATTCAGATCCTTAAGCAGATATAGAAGCCATTGAGCCTCACAAGTAGTGAGAGCTAAAGCTCTGTATTCTGCTTCTACAGAAGACCTGCTGACAGTGGGTTGTTTATTTGATTTCTAGGAAATCAAAGAATCACCAATGAAAAAGGCATAACCAGTTATGCTTCTCCTTGTATTAGGGCAACCAGCCCAATCACTGTCACTATAGCCTTTTAAAATTAAATTGGAAGTTCTGGGATAGAGAATACCTTGTCCAATAGTGCCCTTAACATACCTTAGAACCCTGTTGGCAGCAGTCACATGTTGTTGTGTGGGACATGAAACAAACTGACTTAAACAATGAATATTGTGAGTAAAATTCGGTCTGGTGATGGTTAAATAAAGCAATCTACCTACTAATATTCTATACTCAGAAGCATTGACAGGAATAGAGTCCATGTTAAACTGTCAGCAGATAATTTTCTATTGGGATCCATAGGAGTTTTGGCAGGTTTGCAATCTAAATAGCCAGTATCTTTTAAAATATCTAATGCATACTTTCTCTGGCATAAATGAATACCCTTATTAGATTGTGCAATTTCCAAACCAAGAATGTATTTCAAAGTTCCCAAATCTTTTATAGTGAAACAAGAGTCAAGGTGTTGTTTAATAGCAGAAATAGCAGATAAATTGTCACCTGTGACTATTATGTCATCAACATAAACAAGAGTATTAAAGTGTACTCAGATGATGAATAAACAAAAAAAGAGCTATCGGAGGTAGATTATGTAAAGCCATATGCAATTAAACAAGTAGTCAATTTTTGAAACCATTGTCTAGAGGCTTGTTTCAAGCCATATAGACTTTTTGTTAATTGACATACTCTGTTATCACCAGCAATTAAGTATCCATGGGGAGGGGACATATAAACAATTTCATCTAAATTACCATGTAAGAAAGCATTATTAACATCTAATTGATAAATATGCCAATTTTTTATTGAAACAATGCATAAAAGAACTCTGACAGTGGTAATTTTTGCACCAGGTGAGAAAATATCAAAATAATCAATACCTTCCCCTTGTGTGTAGCCTTTGGCTACCAGCTAGCTTTGTACCTCTCTATTGTACCATCTGGTTTGTATTTAATTTTATATACCCATTTGCAACCTATGCAGTGATGATTAGGAGGTAAAGCAACTAGCTTCCATGTATTGGTCTATTCAAGAGTAGAGATTTCTTTATGCATGGCTTCTTGCCAAAGAGGATTTAAGGCAACTTGTTTATATGTCTTAGGTTCAGCATGATTAGTGATTGCAATAGTAAAACAAGCATGATCATGAGAAAGAGATGCAGTAGACAGATAATTGATTAATGGATATGATGTTCCAGATGTGTCATTGTGTTGTAGAAGTGGAACTTGAGGATTGTGGCAAGGAGTGATTATAAATTTGTAGATATGATGGAGGTTTTTTGATCCTAGAGGATCTTCTGAGTCTAGTTGTTGGAGAAGGTGAAGTAGGTTCTGATGATTGGTTGTTTGTTGGTGGTGGAGAATGTAAATCAATAGGTGAGTTTTGTGGCTGAAAGATAGGTTGAGTTGAAGTACGTTTGGTTGAAGTAGGTTGAGTTGAAGTAGGTTGAGTTGAAGTAGTATTCACTGGAGGTATGATAGAAGATGGTGAATGAATGGATTTATCAGAATATTGAAAGTCTGGTGGTTTGGGAAATAGGTTTTCAGAATTTGTATTGAGTATAGATGTGTGTTTGAAAGGCAACACATGTTCATAAAAGGGTAAATTGCGCCAAACCCCCCTATGTTATACGAAATAGGCGCGTTACTACCCTGTGTTTTAAAAAACGCATGACACCCCTTTGTATTTAAGTAGTTGTTGCACGATTCACTCATTCCGTCCAACTTAACGGCGCGTGCACAACACCTTCTATACCTGCGAAAATTTTACAATTTTTTGTATTTTACATAATTAATAAATTACCTTTATACCTTCCAGTGCTTTATTGAACAAACTAAATTTTTTTGCTAAGGGGAGGAATCGAACGTAGGTCTCAATGAGGTAAGCCTGCCCACTAAACCAATAGGCCATATAGATTCTTGTGTAAGAATTGTACACAACTACATTTATAATAAACTCTAAACGAATTAATAAAGTAAAATAAAAATATAATAGGTAAACTTAAAACAAATTAAATAATAATAATAAGAGCTTGAAATACATTAAATTAAAATAAAAATAATGTAAAAATTAAAGTAAGATAGAACTTAATATAATAGCATGAATTGAAATTAAATAAATTATATATTTCTATTATTAAAATAAATTAACATAAATTTGGAAATGAATAAAAATAATAATAAATTTAAATTTAAAAATAAAGAATATTAAATTAATATAGTAGGTACATTTAATATATTAAATAATCATAATAATAATATAATAATAATAACTTGAAATAAATTAAAGTAATATAAAAATAATGAAAAATAAATTATAATAAAGTAAGATAAAATTAATTATAATAGCAGGAACTAAAATTAAATAAATTTATAATTTTATTTATTAAAATAAAATTAATTATATAAAATCGTAAATGTATAATAATAATAATATTAAATTAAAAAATGAATAAAATTAAAGTAAAATAGTTAAAGTAACATTAAAACAATATAATATAAAATAATAATGTAAAATGAAATAACTTATTATGAAATAGTAAATTAAAATAAATAAAAATATAAAATTAACCTAATAAAATAAAAATATTATTTATCAAAAATTTTTAGTTCAATTTACTCTTCAATACAATATGAATAAAAAATTAGAAATAAAATATTATTTTTAGTAAATGATTTTAAAGAGAAATAAATAATTTTAGTTTCAAAATTTTGTTTAGTAAAATATATTTTAATTTATATCATTGTATTAAGTTAAACAAATAAATGAAATTTGTTAACTAATATATAATAATATGAAATAAAATAAATTAATATAATAAATATTGTTATTTTATCTATAATTTTTGTATAAATTCATATAGTTATTTTAATTATTTACTTTTTGTTTAATTTATATAATTTAGTTTATTATATTTTAATTTATTATAAGCTTATTGTTTATTAATGTATTTTGATAAAATTTACATTATCTTTTAAATTTAATTTGATTTGTACATGTGTAATGTCTATATATATTTAACGTTCTTAAATCTAACACACAAGTTGGCTTGTTGGGGTGGTAGCATTGCTCTTTTCCTCTTATGAGGTTTTGGGTTCGAACCCCATTGCTTGCAAAACATTTTTAGCTAATTTATCGCGATATTTTCAAATGTCGTGATAAATTCTATTTATCACAAATATATATAAAAAATTCGAAGGGTATAACGGGATTTTCAGCAAAAAATTAACATTGTTAACTGGACAAATAAAAAAAAAGAGCGTGTTGTTACTCAAATACAAGGGGTTGTCATGCATTTTTTTAAACATAGGGTAGTAACGCGCTTATTTCGTATAACACAGGGGGTTTGGCGCAGTTTACCAGTTCATACAATGACACGTTTCTGGAAATTTTTATCTTCTTGGTATTTAGATTGTAAAGTCTATACCCTTTACAACTAAGAGGATATCCAAGAAGGATACATTTTGATGCTCTATGATCAAATTTAGATCTATGTGCAGTTAATGTAGATGCATAACATAGGCAACCAATGACTTTCAAGTGATTGAGTGTGGGTGCTTTGTTGTATAGTTTTTCAAATGGTGAAATGTTGTTATGTACAGTAGATGGAATTCTATTAATGATGTGAGTTGCAGCATCAACACAATCAATCCAGAATTGCAGTGGAAGATGAGCATGAAACATGATGGCTCTGATACCATATTACAATAGAGATATGAACAAAACATCAAATCTTCATTATCACTGATGAACGATTAACAAAAGAGAGGAAAGATTACAGGAGGAGAGGATTAGACAGTTTAATCCCTCCAAGTGGCCACATGTTGCCACATCAGATTTTGGCCCAAGTTTACTAAACATGATATAATTTTATCCAAAACTAATCATCTATTTACTAGACTGGATAAATTTGTGTGGTATATTACCCATTACATTTTTGCCCTTTCAGATTTCTCGTTCAAATCCCACCCAACAGACGATGAATTGCAGAAAATGGGAGCCCTAGAATTCGTTCATAAATTTTGATCTTTTGCGACCCAATTTCGAAGTGAAGGTGTAACTGTTGTCTACCCTAGTTGACCCTGCTGTTGTCGATTTCATAGGAGGGAACAACAATTTCAAAGTGAAGGTGTATTTGTAGTCGGGGGCAAAGCGAACGGAAATTGCACGAGGTAAAGTTCGATGTACATCGGAAGATTGAAACTGTAAATTACATAACTTTTATGATTGGTGACTCGTTTTTACCCTATGCTTTGGAAATATGTTGATATGTTTGACATACAATGCGTATTTTTTCTTGTAAAATTAGGTTACATATTTTGTAAACTTTTTGGTGCATTCTATAGTTGTTCAGGCCGTCATTCCCGTGATCTTAATTGTTAGGCTGTGGTTGAGCTTTTATTTGCTGTGGAAAGTTACTAGGTTTTCCTAAGCTTGATGTTGTGTAAATTAAAGCAACAAATAATTTGCTTGACTTAGCAGTGTTTTGGCCATGAGTAGATGATGCTGATAAAGTGTGCATTTCTCAATACTAAAAAATAAAGCCTATTCATTGTGGAGCAATTACAGAAGAAATAAATGGATATGGTATATTATCAGATACGTGAATATCAGATTACTATGGTGGAAATGAGTCTGTGGCAGACACTTGAATATCACAAGACCTATGCATTGGTAAAAAGTGGAGAAAATTCAGGTGTTAGGTCTTTGCCTCTTTGTTGTGGTATCTAGCAAAGGTTCATCAACTGTTACATAAGCTGGAAATGAGTAGTTTGCATACAGTTCATTCTCAGTTTGCATGTTCATTGGCTAATGTTGGGAAAGGAAATATATGCATATATAGTATTTGTTTAGTATGTTTGAATCCAGTATTTTGCTCATACTTAAATTTGTTTATAAGGCCTATTCGTTGGCTACACTTAAGAAAACAAAGTGATGCATAATGTTTTTTGGCCCTTTGTTGTCTTGTCTTATCTACTCCTCCTTATGCATGTTGTGAGGATGCTTGGAATTAATATAGTGCTGATACTATAGAAGCAAGTTTATTCCCTTTATTCAGGTCCTAATTTTGAGAAAAAGAAAGAGATGCAAATGGTATGTTTATTTACCTCTTTGTTGTGGTATGGTGAGCCTTATTGATGTGTTAGTATGCTTGAAATGATTTATTTTAAATCCTTTACAATCACATTATAAACCGTGTGTTTTTTGTTTTTCAAGGAAAAACAAAATGAGTTCTTCAAGTTCATCAAGAAGAGAACCCGGTGTTTTCTGTCTTTGCGGTAAGGTTGCTCGTCTACAAACTTCATGGACTGATGCCAACTCAGGAAGGAGGTGCGTAGATTGTGCCGAAAATGCTCGTCGCTTCTGGAATTTGTTTGACCCTCCAATGTGTGCAAGATTAAAAGATATAATCCTTGGTTTGTTGCGTAAAATAAACCGGTTAGAAGCTGCAACAAATCGCGAATATGTCAAACCTGCAAGTGACCTTCATGAGAAGGAGAGGTACTTGAAAAAGATGAAGAAACTGGAAAAAGAAAATGCACGTCTGAAGCAGAAGAACAGATATTTACTAGTTTTAATTGTAATGTCAATGTTGTGGATGTATATAATGAAATAAGCATAATATGTGTCCAAGTATCGAACATGTCTTATTATGTATTGGTGTTATGATGTATTTTTGCTATGTACTCTTTACTTTGTATGTCCCGGAACATCAGTATGTAGCACAACCGTGCTTTGAATGAAATTTATTTTGTTTTGCGTATTTGTGTCCATTTTTTATTAAAATCATATCACAGGGATGATAATAAGTGTTGAACCATAGAAATATGCATGTTTGTGTACCTTGAAAACGTAGCACATATTTACTATTTTGTTTGTAGGTAAGGTTAATACAAATTGTAATTTGATACACAGTGGTCAATGCATATCTCACTTGCCCCGATAAAGAAGATCTGTTACATCTTCTCAAAGTAAAAGCAAATTTTACTGTTCAACCCATGCGTACATGTTAATTCATGTGAGCGTACAATAATTGTTCAATTATTTTGCAAGAGCATTGACCTACCAACTACAAAGCTGTGTGTTACCATTTGATGTACAACTGTCCTTGTCTAAAGGCTTCATTGACCATTCAACTGCACTATATGGTCAAAAGATTTTAATTTTGATATGACGTGCTCTGAGAACACGTTTCAGGTCTACATGTAGGCTTAAGCTTATTTTGCAAAGCTGAGTAGATTGGACTAAGGCATCACGAGCCGGTGTAGCATGCGGACATGGTTGTAGGTATACTTTTATGCCTTACCTTATTCTGCAAAGCTAAGTAGATTTGACTAAGGCTTCACGAGCATGTTTAGCATTTGTACATGTCAGGAAGTCTACTTTTATGCCTAAGCTTGTTCTGCAAAGCTGAGTAGATTGGACTAAGGCTTCACGAGCATGTTTCCCATGTGTACATGCAGGAAGTGTACTTTTATGCGTAAGCTTATTCTGCAAAGTTGAGTTGATTAGACTAAGGCTTCACGAGCATGTTTACCATGTGTACAAGTGAGGCAATGCATTACACATCCGCAACCACGAATTTTGCCTATTTAAACACCCTACTGCACAACAAACGTATCCAGAAACGTAGAGGGAAGTTGAAAGATTAGGTTTCACAAAACAATATTACTTAGCTTAACTTCATAATTTGCGATGGCTCCTAATTTTGGTGTAGTGCAGGCTGGCTACCTGTACGACCTCCACTTGACACCAAAACTTGATGAGTTTTTAATCAATTGTTTGCTTGATGAGAAGTTTTGTGGTCACTATGTTCCTATTGCAGCTAGTAATGAGGTCATCACTGATACTACGAAAGCCATAAATTCGTATTTTCGTAAGAGCTTCACAATCGAGTACATAAGAAGCGGCGTTGGTAATTTAGCCAAACGACATGAGGTTTTAACATCCCTTAAAGTCAAGGCTGGTGTGCAATACGACGCGCCCAAAACAAGTTTCATTGTTCAGACAAGACTTGGTATGAATTGCTAACGGTGAGTTTTATCAATGATATGACAATTGCTTTATTACACAAACTAGTAGAGTTGCAAACTACATTTTATATTATTTTTTATGTAGTGGGATGAATTTTTGTTGGCGTACATGAATGAAGGTGATCCCCAGCATGACAACATTATAAAGTTGTTTCGAGTGGAGCCCGCGTACGCACCTCTTTTCTAGTATCATATACTGTCAGGCAAGGACAATGAATCGAGTAGGAATGCAAAATAATGGCCGCGACAAAGGTGTTCAAATCATAGATGTGGAGGACTACACACCAAAGCATGCCCCTGTGAGTAGGTTAGTTCCGTACCCTGTTCGGACGGACATCTCACGTAAAAAGCAACCACCACATCTGGCCTTCTATATAGGTAGCAGTTCAAAGCCCCGTAAACAAGAGCATTCCATACATAGTCAAACTGGGTCAACAGATGGATCTGTCAACCAGCTGACATACTCCACTCAGAGTCGTGCGGATGAAGTGGAACCAAATTCTTCGTCCACTGCATGTTCTGCCACCCCTATGGATTTCACCCCTGATTGGCTGTGGTACTAGCTCGGTCAGTGTATTGGTTGTTTTTATGGTTGTCCTTGCATTTTCCTAAATGTTGTCATGCTTTCAATTAGCACGCAGTAGGTTCCGTCTGGGTTGTTTAGGTCTTCTAGGATCACTTTTTCGTATGTTATGTGTATGCTTGTCGGTGTTATGATTTTGTGTTATATATGTATTCGTTTCCTGTGTGCTATGTTCATATTCAAGCGTGTAATGTTTGTAATGTAACAACCATAAACAAAATATAATCCAAAACCATTAACCATAAAATAAAACAACGATAACCAAATCCATAAAAGTTTGCAACATCAAACACACAAGTTCATAAGGTCACCACCCCAAAATGCCAAACATCATCCACAAAAGTTTGCAACAACAACCCCAAGTGCAGACAGTCCACTACATATTAGACTTCCACTACATTTTCACTTTGAATTTTATGACTTCTTCATGTGGGAGGAGAAAGAACGTGCAAACATCACCAACAACAATGTTGTCATCGACGAATTGTCGTGCACGACCATTCTGTAGGAGTTTCTTCCCGTGCCCATGTATTATTTCGACGTCATACCAATTGTCACCAAACTTCAACATTGCGGAGTTGTAGTTCAAATAATGGCCTTCAATGTAATCCCTCCAGAATTGCATTGGGATTCCCTAAAATATAATAGATGTTGAACATAATGTTATAAAATATGCAAATTCTAATCAGATTATTGTATGCAAACTTAATAAGATTTTATAATATTACAGCATACCAGACGTGCACGCCCCACATGAGTTGACTTTATATCGAGAGTAAACGTGTAATGTGGTAGCCTCTCACAACCGTTGGGCTCCATCACCATCACTTCAAAGTCGAAGATGGTCTTGGGACGGAACACCAAGAAGTAGCATAGGGTTATGTCTTCGGCAAGAATGAAATCTCTCCACCCATCAGTTGACATTGGACAGTTATTAACCATATTCAATGTCACCTCGTATTTTCGGCCCTCGATGGTCTCGGTATTGCACCGTTATGGTAGCACCAAACTACGGCAATGGTGGTGTATTGCAGGGGGGAATGCCTACAAAGAAATGATGTGACAATTGTTAGGTCAAGCTCCCTAGACATGAAAACAGATGCACACAGCTCAAACTCCCTTTAAGTTTTTTTTTTTCAACCAAAAGCAATTCAAATATAAATAGTTGAAGCAATCATCGTCAACAATTACCAAACTTTCTCCTACTTGTCTTTCAAATATGAATACTATTTCCCAAACATCAGCAAGTCTGAAGCAAATTCATTAATGCACGCGCGTACGCTCACTAAGCAAAGGGACAAACAATTTTAAAATAATCATCTGGCTATTCCTTTAAAAAAATTAAATAAGCAGACCAAAAATGACTGAAAAAATAAAGTAAACAAACTTACCATGGTGTGGAGCGTACAAAACTGAACAGCCTTGAAGAAATGAGGACCATCACCGTCAACATCCATGTGAGGACGTTAGATTGGACTAATTTTGCAATTTTTGGGACCAAATTTGCAATTTTTCAAAAAAAAAAAAAATGAGTTCTTCAAGTTCTTCAAGTCTCTCTCATTCGCTCAAAGCCAAAATGACATAGTAAAATTAATTTACTATGAATATGATGCAAAAAATAAATATTAAAAATAATTTTATAAAAATAAATATCGGGTGGAAAAGTAAGGGCGTTGATAAATTTTAATTTGGGGTGAAAAAGTAAACGATATAATTGTTAATTGAGTGGTATATATTTTATTTTCTAATATTTTTACCATCATTACTTAAAAAATATTGGCAATTATTTGAATATTATTTAAATTAAAGAATAATTAGAAATAATATATTTTTAATTAAATAAAGCAAACCAAAATACATATCCAATTTATTAAAATAAGAAAAAATGTGAGTATGCTTACAATAATACTAATCCGTCTACACTTTTAAATATTAGTATAATGTGATAATTTATATATATACTTACAAACTTTATAAAATAATACGAATTAAAAAATAACCCAATCTAAACTATTTTTTTATTACTATCTATTTTTATTTTAATAATTTTTTATTTATTAATTTGATTATGACAACTATAAATTGAAAAATCTATTTATTTATGCAAACTACATCTACATAAAAAATTTTAATTTTAAGCATAATAAAACAAAATTTGGCATTAAATTAAGTGAAAATAGACTTTTGCTCCCACTTATTTATAGTAAAATATATCATATATTTTTTTTGCATCTCATTTATCATGAACTAATTAATAAAATTATTTTATACACCTTTTGTTATGTTACCCAATTAAATAATCATTTTATGTAAAAAAAAATCAAGTTAAACTTTAATTTCCAATAAAAAAATGTTAAAGAATTGTATGTTATATTTATCTTTTATAATTTATTAAAAATAAACTATATGTATTGTTAGGAAAGAATGATAATATACTTTTTTAATATTTACTAAAAACTTTTTAAAAAAATGTTTCTAATAAAAACAAATTTATATAATTTTTATCACTTACTCTTTTGGTCCCAAAACTTTTGCTGTTTCCCACATTTGGTCCCAGGCTATAAACGTTGACTGTTAAGTCTTGACGGAGTGGGACCATTTTGGCAACGAAAATTCAAAAAGGATCATAATTGGCGTGCCTGAGACCAAATGTGGTAAACAACAAAAGTTTTAGGACCAAATTTGCAATTTTTTCCAAAACAAACAATAATCATTCGCAAGTCCTACCATCAAATAAACTCTCGACAGTCAACATACACAGATAAAGTGTCATACAATTCCAACCAACTACAAACGTCCATCTTGCATCATTTTCACCATGATAGCTTTATCTTCCATGGACAGGTTGAAAAACATTGACAACTCCTTTGGGTTCTTACATAAACGCATCGTGACAACCATTTTATCCTCTTTTGACAGGAAATGAACATTAGACAACGAGTCAAACACTTCATTCCTTTTCTTCTCCGCCTCATGCTCAAACCCAAGCCTACATGCAATCCCATTCAAGCTCTCTTTTGTATTTTGGGAAAAGGATTGCATGATATCCAGAAAACGCTCCTCAAAGGGAGTGTCTCCCTTCCTTTTGCTACCTTTCACCCTTTTTCCTGCAATGGCGCCAGATCCGGACTCCGTACCTGAAGTGCTACCCATGCGAAGGCCAGGGCTTCCATCACACTGGTTATGCTGTGGAACTTCCTCATTATCCGAGTCCAGTTTGTCCTGCATTTCATGCTCTGGAACTTCATTGGATGCATCTTGAAAGGATTGTGAATTTTCACCTGTAGCTCTGTCTTTCCCAAATATTTCAGCCCAATCGTTGATGTACAGGAAAGACTTGCGCCTAAGTGTTTTTACATTTGGATCCACCTACATTAACCAAATACATGTAATGGGCACAAATGTTTTGGTGGTGATTTACTTTTTCTGACAACCCGTGGTTAATGAGTATCATAACTAACCTTCACCCATGAGTCTCAAACTTTATCCTCGCATGAAAAAGTTTTTGTCACCTCATTCCACCCGAACCCTGAAGTTGTTTTGATCAGTGTCACACTCATATAGTTCTTCCTCCACACATATATTTTCGAGCTGATGTGTGGATCACCACGTAGGGTACAATCTGGAAACTTTGCCTGAAGTCTTTTCTCAATATCAAAATTGTAGCCCTGTCTAAACCCATTATCTGCCTTCCATCCCTCGATAACCGTATCTTTCAAAATATCTATTAGGGCATCCTCCTCACGCCTGCTCCAAACACGTCGTCTTCGTGTTTGGGAAGAGGAAGATCGACCACTTTCTTGGGTACATGAGTAATCCATGGTGGTACCTGTTCTCACAGAGGCCTCATTTACACAAAAGGATTCGTTTGCATTCTTAATATAAAGATATTTCGTAACAAAGGAAGGCATCATATGGGAAATAAAGGTTTAACATGGTAAAGTATTACAGACACATCCCATTATCCAGAAAAATGTATTCGTATAATTGAAAAACAAATATGCACAACAAACCAAACATGTATGGATAAGTTGTCACACAAGAAAATGGTATAAAAAAAGTAGACAATTCAACAACCACGGAAACATATCTTCAGCTCATGCTCATATTGAGCTTAAACATTATCTTAACCTAAAACACATTAGCCTGCCAATCACAAAACATATCATGTGTCAATCGGTCACGGAACTGTGTTCGCTACCCTCCACCTAGTCTATTGGGCAAACCATCTTCCGGAATCTCAGGAAATAATGCTTCAAACGGATCAGTGGCCACTGATGTACGTATGAAATTGTGAAGGAGCGTGCATGCCATGATAATGCGATTTTGTTTGAATGGAATAAAATGAGCAACTCCTAAGAATTGCCCACCGCATCTTCAAAATGCAAAACAACGTTCAATCCCATTTCTAGCCTTAACATGACGAAGGTTGTACAATTCTCTAAAGTTTTGTGGCCTGCGTGATTCTGTGGCCCACTGCTGTAAGTGGTATCTGACACCCCTATATGGCACTAAAAAGTCGGGACCATTCGTATACCCACCATCGACCAAATAATATTTTCCTGTCGCACAATTTCATTTATTGTAAATAATGAAAAGCTAGTGTTTTGTTTATTTTAAAAGAGGATTGGATGATGTTTAGGTAATATAATGTGTCTATTACCATTGGGAACACGTAGAGCATGCGTCCTAGTAACCGCATCACGCAGGACTCGACTATCTGCTACTGACCCCTCCCATCCACAAAGCATGTACACGAAGTTCATGCTTCTATTGCAAACCCCAAGTACATTAACGGATATACTACCCTTACGGTTTCTATAGCGTGCCTTCTCAATACCAGTGACTCTCACGTCAATGTAGGTTCCATCTAGTGCTCCTAGACATCCCTAACGAGAGAAAACCAAAAATACTTATTAGTTCGAGAGGGTGCAAGTAAGAAATTGGTACGGCGTTGAGAAATGTGTTGTAGGTTACCTTGAACCATTTCCACCTTTCATCGACACAATCTGCCTCTACTGCTTTTGGTTGCACAACAAGGATGGAGTGAAGTCGTATGACATCGTCAAGAACTCGGTTAAAGTATTTGCTTATGGTTCGACTGGATCTAACGAAATCAAGCTTTAAAGTGACATTCTTCTTATGATGAGCTAGGATTGAGAGGAAAATAGCCACTTGTTCACTTAGTGGAACATTTCTAGATTGCCTAAGCCTCCCAGAGGTTTCTAGAAGGTGACACAGACGCCCGAAGGAGTTACGATCCATACGGACGTTCTCGACACAAGTTGTGTCACTTACGTCGATTAACCTTCGCATGTAGTTGATCTGATGGGGTAGTATATCACTAACTCGAAATAACGGGACGTGGTTACTGCCCAAACGTCGACATTTTCGCCAAGGTCAGATGTATTTGATATAGTAATAAATAGCTAGTAGCAAAAAAAGCTGAATACTACTCATCACCTCTTCCAATATAGCAACAACCGCTAATTCTTCTCCAACAACTGAATCCATCTACAAATGTGGATAATAAACATGATTGACACGCTTATTACACACAATTCTGAAAATTTTAATGCAGGAATAGCAACAATTTGTCACACAATTAAACAAACATGCCACACATAAAGAATGATGTAATAGGAAGAGCATACAACGCACGCTTTGGTGGAAATGAAATAGAGCATCAGTTGTTCATCATTGAATAAATACTGAAGGGAATAATAAAAAATATAGCATCAAGTAATTACCTGAGAAATTGGAGCACTTACGAAAACTAGAGGGGAGAGAATGCCTGAGTTGTCCGAATCTTCCACCTGACAATCAACCATTACCAGGTAAGACATGGCAAACAAGCACAACGAACGGCAATTAAGTTTACAATACACAATACAGAAGGTGCACTTAACATTATGAAATCAGAA